ACTTCAATCGGATGAGTTCTTGGGCCTTCTTGTGGGCCTCCGGACTTTTGAACAACTTGTAAAAGTTATCTTCGTTCACATCTTCCGCACTAAAGTTGTACACTTGCACCTATTTAAAAAACAGCTCTTATTTGGAGGATTCCAACCATTTTACGTCGTTTCAAAAATAAATACGTTTCTGTTCTGACCTCTCCTCCGTTCGCGGGTGTGCTCGATGACGAACCCCTCTTCGTAGGCACCGCCACGGCCACGAATAGGAGCCATTGCACTAAAAACACATGTGTCATTCGGCTAAATGAACTATAAAAGAAACGACCAAACGGTGATATGCTGATAGGTCACAACACTGATTTCCAGAACGAAATCAGTAAACTGTTTTCAGCTTTGCTGAAATTTAGTGTTGAAGAATAGATGCTGACGTTGAATTTGATGTTATACTTGAATAGTCTATATATGTTTCTGACGTTATTAATAAATAGCTTTATGCTTGTTAGATGACACGCGATTAAATGGCATTGTTGCCTAAAGGTGATTATTGGTGACTGCTTGCATAGATAAGTGAATCACGTGAAATCGGTTACCAATCATTCACTTCCTCATGCTGCATTCTCAGCGAGAAAACTGCTGTACATAGTTCTAGAGATTGTAGACTCGTTCGATCTACCGACAACTCAGTACAACTGCTTTCAAATCAGCATTCAATAGAATTTCATTGGCCGGTATTGGGATCAGTCAACAAATTGTCCTCGTTTCGAGTATTGTACTTAGGGGAAAATGATAGAAAAGAGTTTCTCAGATAGTTGAGCGTGAGGCTCACAACCAAGAAAACTCGTATTCCAGTCCCTCTGGGGTTGCTCACCTTTCATCCTATTAAGATTGATCAATCGAGATCATTTAATTTAAAAGGAGACATTGCAATGATCGCTCTACCCTCGATGTAGTCTGACATATTTTCTTTAAAATAAACCACGTCATGTTGACACGTAGAAACAGAAATCAACGTTGAAACGTCAGCTCTGCAAAAGGAAGACTGCCACAAATTACCATCATGTAATGATGTAACGCCGACAGGCATTCTGAACAAACCAACTTTCCCTTTATTAATAGGCTGTCGATTGTCGCTTCGGTTGTGTCAATGCTGCAATGGGAGCACTGGCTAAAAATTTTGTTAAGAATATTACCAATATTTAAATTAATGTTCGACTCGTCATTCAGTCACAACTCCTACAGCGGAAAGTGATGTTAAACCCTCATTACCTTGTTGTTGGCCCTTCCGCGGCAAATAATGGACTGACATGCGAAAGCCAGGTGGCAGAACGGAACGAAGAATCAAATCACAAACCTACTTTCCTCGCAATCGATGGAGAAATTTGGAAAAACATCGCAGGCCGTTAAATCGGATCTAACAGACGGCAACTGATATGGGAACGGAGTGAAACCATCTTTAGAGCGGAGTTCTCCAGGCTGCCGCCAAATTCTATGGTTCGATACCTCTTGGACTGTCGCGTCAAGGTCAAAGGCTCTGAGATAAACAGTCTTCAACTAGAGCACAGCAGAAAGAAGTCCTTACGGTTGGAGCGAAAGCAGTGAGCAAACCAAAAGATGTTTGCTGGAAATAGTTTGGTGAGTTACTGGAGTCAAATATGAAGATCACAAGTGATGCATTCTGTCAGATGATAGACTAAGGACCGGAAAGAGAAGTACCGATGGTTTGTTTCAGAGTAAGCGGACTAATTTCGGAGACGGGCTAGAGTCCCTCAATGAATTACTTAGCCTCTATCAACCGTACACAGACTCACCTGATGTGCAGAAGGCAACGAATATGATCCTTCCGTCTCACAAGGTCATAGCAGCATCGATGAATACACAGAGAGCAAAGGCTGACAGAATCGAACAAATCTGCCGCCGTGAGATGCATCAAGCTTAAGGTTTTGGCGTCATGCTGCACCTAATCCGCATTTGTGAAACTCCAATGAAAAACACCAACATAGATCTGTGGTTATTTGCTCCTTCTACAAAAGCGGAGCAAATGGGGACCGGTCTAACCACGAGGATATTGTGTTAGTGGGCACTGCGAGAAAGGTCCACGTAAACTCGTTGTGTTAAAATGGGTGTCGCAGATTAGTACATTCTGAGATCCAACAAGAGCACTATCGCTATACCTAAAGCTGAAGCATATCTGACAGGTCCGTCTTACCCCAGACAATTGACAAATCATGTGATTTCGTTCACCCAGTTCTCATGAGATTTTTCACTTGGCGAAATCGTGAAAGTGGAATTTGTTTCTATCACTCTGAAATATTCAGAATTCCTTCCTCTTAGCAAAGACCGGACCTTCGTAGCACTGTGGTCACCTTGTCCGCGACCGCTTACTCGTCGGATTCTCTGCTTATTTCGCATGTTTATATCACCATCTTCTTCATCTTCCATCGCCGCTTTCCCTTTCGGGTCGCGGAGGCTGATGCATCAGACATCGCTTCCAACATTCACGATTCTGTATTAGTCTGACATGCCGTAGATGACAACTGAGGTCTGGAACAGACTCCCACCATATATATGCCCCAGATTACTGTTGGCCGTCCCTTAGGCCTTCTGCCGGTCAAATTCTCAAGAAACAGTTGCTCAGCCTTCTTTTCTGGAGGCATTCGCAACACGTGGCAAAACCATCGCAGTTGTGACTTACCAATCTGAAGATGCAAAAGCTCTACAGCAAGGTTCACCCGGATGTCAGTATTCAGGACATGTCGAGACGTGTAACGCCGGCGACACGTCTAAGAAAGCCCATTTCAGCAGCTTGTACCCGGGTTCGAATTTTTCAGTGATGGTCCACGATTCATGACCATAGGTAAACATGGGGATAAAGATCGACTTGAACATCGAGAGCCTAGTTTTCAGACTGAGTTGCCACTGCTTTGGCTAGCGCCTTGCGTGCCTCGACATATCGCACGCGACTAGAAGGCTCCTTGTTTCCATGCCATTTCTTGAACGCTACTTTCTTCGCCTTAACTGCCTCTCGAGTTGTACCTCTTCTGTCCACCATGAAGATCTTTGCTGACCTCCAGGCGGCAGGCCAACCCGTTTATGTCCGCAGCATTCGGCGCCAGCCTCGAGTAGGCCTCTCTTAAACAGCTGCCACT